AATTCGGGTATCGTCACGGTGCGATTTCTTTCTATTTATCCACTGTTGAAACATGGATATATATATATATATATATATATATATATATATATATATATATATATATATATATGGTTGGCGGCATCCGGTTTCGGATTTGCCTGTCACTGTGGCAAGCCACAGGACGCCTGCGCCTACAGAGGGACCATGGATGGCTTGCGCTGCACCACCCACAGCTCCAACCACACACCCCATATCCAGTGTAAACCCGAAGGAATAAGACCGGGAGGCATGCGGATGGGAACCACGTTTCATCAACGGAGCCGGCCCACACTCCTTCACAGGCAAACACAAGCACGCTGTATTTGGGGAATCAACCGCACACAAGGCGGTGGCTGGACCGTAGTCCGCTCCACACTGAGTGCATGGAACCGCTCTTTGAGCCTAGCACGGCCACAAGAACCGTGCACCCCGTCCCCTCCAGCAACGACCAACTGTCTCCTGGAGCCAGTATGAACGATGTAGTGGGTAATAGACAGGTAGGCACCTTGTCAACATACACATCAAGCGCAACCATACCAGGGATATCAAACAACAGCCATTCACTTTAAACGACAAGCTGAAATTAAATAAATCCAATAATGCATACCGCTACGGTGGCATAACTCTTCGCTAAATTACCATATGGAGTAAGTTGGTTAGCAACAAATCCGTGATAAGTAAGAAATGTCCACAAGTTACTCAAAATGCTACAAACGCAACAAAATTACCGAAGATAAGCGCAATTAGTGTAAGCAACGTGGCCAGTTAATAGAACATTATTCAGGCAGGCAGAACAAACCAAATAAAGCGGAATGAAATTTAGCCAGCTTAAAAAGACCGAGTTTAAGTGTAAGTTGGTTTAGCCCAACTGCGGTGAAGAAGCATCAAGAATGCAACATCAGCCTCAGCATGGGGCACTTATATATATATATATATATATATATATATATATATTCTTCTCGGTGGATCTACGTATGCTTACATTTTAGTTAATTTTACTAACGGAACTCCGTTTTTATTACTATACTTAACCGTCTGTGTTACGTCATGGTTGTATGCATCGAAAAACAAGACGGATTGTTAATCCCTGTTTCTGTAATGGAATCCTGTCACTCAGCTTATTTTTGCCTCGAGTTACATCTGCGGCCATCCGTCGTGCAAGGCAATATTGTGCATAGTAGTGGTTGTTCAATTATCTTCACAAGTTTTAGCCACTATTCATGACAACCAGTGATGTTGGTGTGATTACTTATAATCACTTTTGTTTTTATTAGCTGTCAGATCGCTTTTAGCAGCTAGTCTACGTTAAACTCCGACACGCCTACTTGAGTGGTGGTCGTGCCTAACATTTGCTCTCGACTTTTGCATTGTCCCTTGGCGCTAACTACTCAGGAGCGATCTAATTTACGCTCTGTAACTTATCTATCTTTGGCAGTCTTGCCACAGCAATTGCTAACCCGTGGCCGATAGCACTAGACGTCCACCTTGCAACTCGGAGGTCGCGGTTACGAATCTACATACACAGGACTCGTCGACCATCGCCGTATTCTTAGCCCTCGCGCTACTGGTGGTGGTTGTGTGGCAACGAAATGAGGCACCGATAAATAAACGAAATATTTCTCGACATGCGAGACAAGCAAAATACCAGCCTGATCAATTGGTACAACAAAGTTGGATAGTGGAGGGAACTATCAAGATCTGTTTTGTTCTCATTAAAGTGTTTGAGGTGCTCAATCGTTTAAAATAGTTAAAATATGGAAAAGTTAAGAGTATGAATAAAACTTGTTATAGCCTTCAGATCAAGTAAAGTAATACGACCTTTCATGGAACCGTCTCTCGGAGAACTGCTTCCACACTTCACTTATACGTCTCATCTGGCCATTTGTTATTGTGGCTTAATGCAAGTAGCCACTGTATTGTTTGACTCGTTTAATTCTTGTTGGTTGTTGTCATGCAATTTTGTCATCGTCATGGTAACACATTGTACATAAATATGTATACATCTATGCAGAGGCCTGGGTAATATGTTAGGCTCTCCCCATCATACAGCCATCATTTAGACGTACCGGCTTACTGTTGATATCTTTTTGTAGTATATCTGCATTTTGAATCGCTACTAATGCCTATTTTAGGGACACAATTGCTTACGCGTTATTTAGGAATATTATTCCCTTCTGTTTCTTTCGCAACGAAACTAGATGTCTCGTGTTGCAGCCACTCGTTTATGTCTGCGCCATTAATTTATACTGTAGGACTAGTAAATACTAGTCCGAGACGGTGTGCGAAATTAAGCGCGGATATCAGAAGGCAATTTGAGTCTGAAGCAGCGGACTGTATTCGATGAGCCACAGGGAGACGCGGACGGATGAAGCGAGACAAGTGCAACACGTTAGCGCGGGAACTTACAAGACCGTCGAGTGTCGTGCCGGATGTTGGTCAACATGGACTTAATGTAAAGGAGATTAAAACGAGGAAGTTTACTGTACAATTGGTCCTCAGCGAAATTGTGCACGAAAGATAATAGTTAACTTTTGGATCGCTGCAATACTGAGTGAAGCATACAGTTGTCTTAAAGCATATTTTTGCTATCTTTGTCAAGGCTTGTAATCCGAGTGTACCTAGCTTCCTGGACTTCTCTATGAATGGCAGCATCGTTTTGTGCAAAAGACCCACACTGTGAGCCTTATCGATTTTCCGCTACCTCGTCATCCAAAACTTTGGTTCAGAACCCCGACTTCTTTTCATATCCAGATCAAGGTGTACTATTATTCTCTCAGCTTTTATACGCAGATGACAAATGCACCAAGTCATAGCTTTATTCCGCGTCAGTTTGCAACAAGTTGAAAAATCATCACCATATCCTCACTAGTCTGCGTGTCAAACCTACGGAAGCTCGCTTGTTATAATTACTTTGGGATCATTGGATGTCGGTACTTTACGCTCCACATCTTCTGGATTACGATTATTGCTTGTGAGGTGCTTACGCTCCCTGTTACCATTCGTTCCCGAAGGTTTCTGGAGTGGTCAGTGACCTTATAGCCGGTCACATTGGCTTTGACACAGCGCCGTACGAGCACTTGTGGTATTTAATGTAAAACCAGACTACCAGCCCAGAACTCCCCACGCTCTGAGGCACTGCCGCTGCTTGTCTGCGACTGCTTCTTCTTCTCTCTTGCAAAGCAAACGAGACTTATTCGCAGTTACCTCCACAAGGAAAGCATTCGCCGATCTGCAACCTGGGGACGCACCTGATAGCATACAGCTCCGCCACAGGGAAGGTGATCCTTGATTCCGATCCTATCCTAGTTCACTGGTGAACCTTAGGCTTTGACCGAAAGGCACGGCAAACTGCACCTCATTTGGCTAGCAAGAATCCACTGCATTCACGATATGGTTGGCGGCATCCGGTTTCGGATTTGTCTGTCACTGTGACTAGCCACAGGACGCCCGCGCCTACAGAGGGACCATGGGTGGCTTGCGCTGCACCACCCACAGCTCCAACCACACACCTCATATCCAGTATAAACCCGAAGGAATAAGACCGGGAGGCATGTGGATCGGAGCCAAGTTTCATCAACGGAGCCGGCCCACACTCCTTCACAGGCAAACACAAGCACACTGTATTTGGGGAATCAAGTGAACACAAGGCGGTGGCTGGACCGTAGTTTGCTCCACACTAAGTGCATGGAATCACTCTTCGAGCCTAGCACGGCCACAAGGACCGTGCACCCCGTCCCCTCGAACAACGACCAACTGTCTGCTGTAGCCAGTATGGACGAGATGGTGGGTAATAGACAGGTAGGCATCTTGTCAACATGCACACAAAGAGCAGCCACACCGGGGATATCAACCAACAGTCAATCACTTGAGAGAAAGATAGCAAGGAAAACAAATCGAGTAATGCGTAAGTAAACGGTTACATAAATCTTAAATTAATGAACATATGAAATAAATTGTTTGCAAACGAATCCGAGATAAGTTCACGAGATCGGAAAGTATATTTTACGGAAATGCCACAAACACGAAAATGTTTTCGAAATTAACTACAATTGACTTAAGCGACGTGTGCAACTTTATGGTGGACAGTATAGGTAGACCTTTATATGAGAAAGAAAAGCATTAGGACCAAATTGGAAACCCACCACCTGAAATATATAGACTTAACATGCAAGCACGCGGTTAGTACATCGAATGCAGCGTACCTGCAAACGCTGCACCGGCTCTGCCTACGTTCTCTGCTGGACGCGTCGTCGCTTCGGTAGTGATCCCGAGTGTCCTCGATCTTGGCTCACTAGGCCTGCCTGACTCAGGCACTCGCGACCGCATGTGCTACAGCACCATGCGCTCGATGTCGATGGTGTACAACCCATCGGTGTTTGCCGCTTCTTCTCTACATGTATGAGGTCTTTCTCCCGCATTTCGTCAGCTGCCTTCGTGATCAGATCGCGCCATGCACGCCGATCAACCGCCTTCGATTCCCATGACCAATCAAGATTGGAACGTGAGAGGCTCACTTTGATCAGGTCCTTGTAACGTAACTTTGGTTTCCCCACACCGCTTCCCAATACTCAGCTGACCGTATAAGAGTTGTTTCGGTATCCGCGTTGAATCCATACGGCCCACATGACCGAGCCACCTTAGGTGTCTCGGTAAAAGTATGCAGTCCACTGCATGCACCCCACTTTGTCGCAACACTTCCGTGTCAACAACTCTGTCGCCCCAACTGATGCGCAAAATTCGTCACATTCCCGATATAGAGACGTCCTGTCAAATCCTATGCGAATCTTGCTTTTACTTTTACCGATTCCAATCTACTTCGGAGTGCCAATTTTCCTACGCGAGCCTTTGAATCTGTTGCTCGTTATTTTGTTGGCATACTACAACCTATAAATAGTCATTCTATCGGATCATTCACTTTGCTTCGCCTGTTGCCAATGTTTGTTTCATTTGTAACCACTTATTTCCTTCATACTAATCAGAACTTCGCCCCCACAAATGTGAACGATGTGGCAAGTCGTTTACCCGACGCTCCTACTTACGAATTCATCTCAGAGCTATTCACTTGAGTGAGTGTATAATTGATGTAAATTTTACTTATCTCTTTTTATTTAAAATAAAATTTATCCAATAGGGGCAAATACATTTCGCCCATTGATGTGGCGACAGCTTGTACTTCATGTGTTTTGAACGGTGTTTCTGTGCATTTTCCTCTCATGGTGGACAGACACACAGGGCACTCTTACTAATATGAAATTTATTTGTGATTGTCTCATTTCAGAGAAATCGGAAGACGGAGACTAATTGACTTCACGAGCATGCCTACGGTGGAAATTTCTGTCTTTGCATTTGATTGAGGCCACAACTTTGTTGATACTTTTGATATGCTTTCTCCCTCTTTTATCTTTGTGCTTGTAATGAAAATACTTTGAGTTTTTTGTGCTTTTCGAGGAAAGTGTTTCAGCTGTGGGACAGGCTTATATTAGGAGTAAGATCCATCGCGCGACAGATGACGTAAAATGGTCTGGTAAAAGTAAATTTGTCCGGACATAAATGTTTGCAACTGTGTAAACCGTGCGTTAATGGACCCAACTTGTTATTCCCATTAGCATAGACGTAAATCAGCTTACCTATTTCACGTGGAGGGATGTTGGTGAGTGACATCTTTGCTTAACCTTTCATCCTCAGTCTTATGAATTCATCGGTTAAATCGCAGCATCCTTTCCCATTCCGGACCTCCAGTCAAAAGTTGAGGAGCTTCTGCTCCAGTATGGTATTAGAGCCATATGTTTTGCGACCGCATTGCCCCTAATAAACGTGGTCCAGTTGAACAATGCTCACTTGGTTCTCCAGACAAATGTAATGGCGACAACTCTGTGATTGGATGAGTCATTTTGGAGCATTGGTTATGGAAATGCAATACGGCGCTCACTTCTAAAAATGGGTCACGAATTCCATTGAAACGAACCTTGCCCGACTCTACACTGTGTCTGCTTGATACTGCGTATCACCTGCCCAAAACATTGCACTCGACCATTCACACAACGAGTACTTTAAACTGACCCTCACTTAGTCGTTGAGTGCTGTTGCAAACGTTGTCCGCTCCAACTCGATTACTTAGGTTCTTCGGCTGACTTCTTAATGGCCTTAGGTCACCCATGCTTTCTCTACCTGGCAGGTCGTGGAGTGGATGCGGTCACTATGACCCAATGGACCAGATCTCGCATCAAGATTACTCAACATCATACCCAGAAGACACCGTCCCGAGTGTTCATCCGACCCGATTGAGATTCGCTTAGGTGCGATATCCTCAAACGGTCCCAATATCTCAGCTACAATCGAAATGGCGAATCCAACAGACGTGGCTTCCTATCAAATGGATTTGTGTCATGGAAAAGCTGACGCCGATTCTGACGTTTAATGTATTCATTATATTTTAATATTGACCGCCATTGTCAAGGAGAAACTGGTATTACTGGCCGATGTTTGAACGTACCGCTCAATTGTTCCCTGGTCCGTTTGTACGACTTGCCACGCTGCGTGACAATTCTTCTGCCGAATTGACTTAATTGACAAACGCCTGCGATAACTAAGGCCGAAAAACCAACAGACTGTTCGTCACGATGTAGTCATTAAGGAGGAGACCGGTCGTGTATATGGGTTCAAAGCTTTTTAGCGAAGCACTACATGATGCATTGCTTACAGTGTTATAAGTTCTGCCCTGCCTCGCTAACTCTTAATATTTCATGAAGGTAGACCTATGGTCTGAATTTTTGAAAGTAGGCCAAGGTGAGCACCTTATTCTGCCCATTGGTACATTATTTCTACCACGCCCTAAGTGCTTCTATCAAGCTTTATTAGAGACGATCGTCATGGATAGTACATATATCGTGCTCGTGTGACTTAGGGGGAAGGGTGTAAGACGCGGCCCCCTAAGGGTTTACGCAAATAACTTTGGCTTTATTTGCAAGATTTGTAAAATTCCCAGCTTACTCTGTCTGCTACACCGTTAGTTAACGATACTTGTTCAGCGTGAGCATTATCTGTACCAGCTACAACAATTAATATATAATAGTTTTTCTTTGGGATTGGGCATCCTACTCCATCCGTCCCTAACTGCTTAAGGTTGTATGCAGCGATATGTGGAATACTATTGGTCGGTGGCCGAGTTGTCTGTACGTTTGGTTTGCAACCAAAAGGTCACCGGTTCAAATCCGCATAGGGGCGGGCGTACTCGCGGTACACTCAGCTCGCGCGCGACTGGCGGTGGTCGCGCGGCAGCGAAGCGCCGTTACGACGTGCAGCTGATACATATTATTATTATTATTATTGAAGAAATATTTGCAGCAGGTTGTAATGCAGTCACGGCATATACGCAAGGTGCTAGCCATATATTCACTTAACAATACAATGTGTAGTGAATTTAGAATTGGAAGACAATAAATTTGTAGTTTGCGTGTGCTCAGATGCGTTAACTAAAACCAAAGCTTTAACTAAGCATTGTCTGCTTTACAAGTTTAGCGGACATAAACTTTAGAAAGTACTTGGGTACCATCCTCATGGGCTTATATCTGACCCAATGCAGGCGACCCGCTTTTCACCAGGTCGACTGCGAGCTAACTTTCCCGTAAACCAGGCAGACCCATTTATCGTATTCATACCATGAAGAGGACGGTTTCAAATTGCTTGCTTTACTGGCTTTGCCTCCTTTCTGTTTTAGTGAACTAACGAATAATGACACTGTTAATACTTGGACCTCTTCACTTTTGCAACATCCTTTCTGTTTGTTTGAACTTACTGCGTTCAGAGTAGCACAAATTTTCAATAACCTGATTTTCTGTCAACCGTGGTCGCGTGGTATAACCAGCAGACTGGAGTTTTTGAACGCTAACTGACAGCGAAAAAGCAGTCTCACCGTAAACAGATGCGTTCATGACCGAAGATAAATGCACGTGATTCTCATCTATAAATACTGCAGTTCGGAGGATAATACTTTATTTATTTGTAGCATCTCAAAATGCTGATTGGACTTATGGATGTTTTACCTTTGCACTTGGTACAGTTGAAGGTACGGGAACTGGGATAAATTGATTAAGAAAATTATCCGGCGTCTCATTAACCTGGGCACCAACGAAATCATTTGCGTTAAAAGCGGTGATTAAGCAGCCAGTTCTCGCAGGACTCAATGCCCTGCAGCACTAACGGTTGCTGAGTAGTTAAAAGCCTGTCCAACTACTGAGACCAGCTGAACAATGAACTTCGCTGCCGAGGTTGATTTAGCATCCATTGCCCAGCAAAAGTATTGAATGCAGACTTCATGGGTTTGAAAAGCATGATCTCAAAGCTGGTGGCAAGGTGTACCATGTGGTGACAAGGTCATTGCTGTCAGGGAAAGCAAACTTACGTTCCTTCTCTCTGAGTAGATCAGTCAGAGGCTGCATAAGCTGAGCACAGCGTGGAATGTAACGTGGATGGTAGTTGACCAGGCCACCAAATCCACGGTGGTGCTTGAATGAAGTCGGAAGTGAGAGTTACTTGCTTTCCTGGCTCTTAGCAGGAAAGACTTCGATACCAGACGCTGAAACGAAATGGCCTAGGAATTCTACCTTTGATTTGCGGTGTTCGCACAGTCGAATTGACTGTGATACCGAGTTGGGTCAAGCGCTGGAAGAGAGTGATGCTCGAGATGTTCTTGTTCCGTTGAAATGGCGATTAAAATATCATCGAGGTAGGAATAAGCGAAGTCTGGGCCGCGATAGACATCGTGGATGAAGCGTTGGGAGGTTTGTGCGGCATTGCACACTTTAACTGGCATTTTTAAAAATTCACACAAACCGAAAGGAGTGATAACGGCTGTTTACTGAAAGCTATTTTTTCTACAGGTGTCTGGTTATAGGCACTGACCAGATCGATCTTGTTGAGGATCGTCTTATCTGTGAGGCAAGCGGTAAGTTCCTGCATGTGTGGGATGCGTACCTATCTGGGACGGTTAATCGGTTAAGTGCGCAGGAATCATCACAAGGGCGTAAACCACCAGTATATTTGGGTACCATCTGCGAGGTCGAGGGCCAACGGCTGTCGGAAGGGCGGATTATTCTATGTTCAGGCATGTGTTCAGACTCCGCCCGTTACCTTTAGTTTCTCGGACGTTAGACGGCATGAGACGTACAGCCATTCGTCCGTATGTGGTGCGTGACTTGAGCTGCCAAGGGCAAAGCTGCGTTCATTGGCTGAACGAGCTTGGAATATTGAGAATAAAGCTTGACGTAGCCTGACGAGATCTGGGGGAAGGCGTAGACTGGTGTTATAGTCGCCATATCGGCGGTGATTCCACCTACACTGCGTTTCGTTGCCATGTCGAGTATCCTATGGCGTTTCGCATCGACCAAGAGGTCGAAATGCCTAAGCAAGTCTGCCGATGGTGGCAAAGGGGACTGAGCGACAGTGAATGCTTAGCGGAACGTGCACCGAAGACCTAGGTTTAGGGTAATCGACGGATGACCGTAGGCGGCCATTGGCGGCACTAAGTCTTGTCGACAGGGGAGCGATAGGCTTACCTGCCATAGGGGGAATGATGCTAACTTCCGACCAGTTCTCCACTAAGAACTGGGTCTCAAAACCCTAATCCCTTGTGTAGATGAAGCGAATTTGGGCTTTGCTGACACCGTTAGTCGCCATTACTACTCGGTCTAGCAGACCATCTGTAGCGAATTAGCTACATAGCTGTACGAAACATGAGTGGTAAAAATATTAGCTTGCTGCGGCAGGTTTTGTGCGATACGGCGATGATCCAGTGCGGCTATGGCGCTTGCGGTTTCAAGTGAGTTCCTCAATCTGGCGCTGAGGCGACGCTATCATCGATGACAATGTGTCAATTGCCGAGGCTGGCTGCTCGATCTTCTCGGCTTGGTTGCACCAATGCTTAGGTGCTCTGAGTTTAGTATCTGGCTGGTGCCTTTCCTTGACGCGGTCTGCTGGGTCTGCGATTGCTGTAAGTGGGAGGGCACTTGCTACTGCAAGGATAGCTTGAGTGCTTTCAGCAAGTGGTTGCATCTATAGTTCGCGGAGCATTCCTACTTCCATATTGGACGTGCCGATGAGTTGATGCATTTCGCGCAACTAGCCCGAAGGCATCCCAACTTCTAGTTGCAAATCACTAAATAGTTTCTGCAGACGGACTTTGTCAGAAAGCGTGAATTGCTAAATAATAGCCGGTTTTTTAGCTTCTCGTGTTTAATTACCTGATGGGGGAAATTATGCTGTCTTTCAGCTGCGAGGATATGCTTTGAGAAGGTCGCGATATG